CTCCAGGAAGGAAAGCCTCAGCGTGGTCCCGGTTCCAGGCACAGCACACGCACCACCCAGCCACCCCACTCACTCCATTGCTTCCTGTGGCATGGAAGAGAATTCCCTGGGAATTCCCTGGGGGTGTGACTAAATAAATGCTGGGGACATGGCCTGGCAATGTGCAGCAGCCTGTCAGACAAGGATTTGCGGCCCACTGTGCTAGAAGGAGGAAAGGTACACTGGGAAGGAGAAATGACCTGAAGGTGCAAAACCAGATGGCCCAGAATGGTGATCAAATGAATCTCTTATGTGGAAGGAAAGCTGCGAGGAGATGTCAAAATCAACAAAAAACTGATGTTACAAAGCCATTTAGTGGAAGACTGAATGATTCATACCCAAAGCAAGAAAGACAAATTCAGGCTAGAGAAACGTGAACTGCAGTAAGCTGAATAGATGAATTGTTGCACAAGACAGTCTAAAAAAATTGCAGCCAATTCCTTCTTCTCTATATTTTGGAACTACATGTTACACCTCCACAATCCGGGACTCTCTTGTCCGGCAACATCCGGGTCTGGCACTGATGTTGCTGGTCAAAGAGTCCTGGCAGCTATAAATGGGGCCTGCTAGGAGTCCAGCAGCAGGAGAGCTGGCGAGTCAGCTGCAGTGGGGCCAGTGCAAGAGGGGTTAGTGGTAGCTGGGAAGCTGACAACCAAGGAGGTGGAGGAGGGAAGGGGGAGGATGGCACCTAGGAAACCCTGGGCCGTATTGGCTGCAGAAGGACTGGTGGCAGCTTGGAAGCCCCCAGCCAGATCAGCTGCAGTTGAGCCCCAGCTGGGTCAGCAGCTGGGAGGGAGGGGTTTGGGAAGGTGCAACCACAGGGTATGGGGAGAGGCAGCAGCCCTGACCCGGACAGGGCAGAGCCCACAGCAGGGCTGACATCCAGCAGTGGGGATTTGGCCTCCCTTGGTGTGGCAAACTCTAGTTTGGGACCACTCTGATCCCAAGGGTGCCGGACCAGGAAGGTCCAAACTATTCAGATATATAACATAATGAAGGCTTTTATTCCTTAGTTTGACTCAGGGTTCTACTGATGTCAAAATAAAAGTAGGCAAGCAGGAAACATTTTCATAGTTTAAATGGGATCTCAGGGATTAAACTAGTCACTACTAACTCGGACATGCTATAATGAGACTATATTTTTCTCTGTGAATAGGCAGGTATGAACTCAATTTGTGCTCAAAGATATATCCTGCTAGTGACCTCTTTGGAATAGGGATTGTGTCTTCTTATGTTTGTACAGCACAGAGGGTGCAATTATAATATCATTAATGCAACAACAACATGTCCCTGGTCTGATATGGTACCTTATTCTTTTTCAGAGGCTCTTTCTCGGTCCCCAGTTTGCATTTTTTATTGCCAGTGAAGCTGTATTTTATGTCACCATCTTCAAAAGTGTAAGGATCACTAACATCTCCCAAGCCTTCTCCAGACTGCTGTATTAGAGGCAAGGGGTCAAGATAGTTCAATGTCTGTACTGATTTGTTATCTTCCAAAATTTTAAACCGCTTGTTGGGTTGTGCTAAGAGCCTGGGGGAGGGGAAAAAAGCAATTATGAAAAACAAATACTCCACAGAAGGCAAAAATAACAGCATAGAAGATTTATAGATTTTCTCACATAAGAACAGTTAGTACTACTCTTTTCTCTGATTGAAGTACATTTTTTTTGTCCACTGAAGCATGCATTTTTTTCTGCTAATATTAAACAGCTGTTCATTGTACTGTCAACTTCAATGTTGGGAGAATGAAAGAGAATGAATCTTGTAGGTAAAAAATAGATACATCAAAATTCCCTGAAGCACCCGTAACAATTCAGTCCATCATATCATTTGCAGTAATGATTACTAATATTAAATTTGGAATAACTTAAAAACTTCTTTCTAATGATATTTTATATAAACTGAACGCTTGAATTATCATTATGGGCTGCCACTGACCATCCACAGTGTAAGCCAGGGGATGCAGCGCAGATCGGGACACCATTTCTACGGCCAATCGGAGCTGTGATAGCCCATACCTGCAGAAGTACAGGTAAACAAAGCATCTCGTGGCCAGACAGTGCCTTGCCCTTAAAAAACTGTGAACCAGAGTTTGAAAACTCCTGGTTTCAGCCAAAATGTGTGGATTTTTAAATTTTAAATTTGTGGAAATTCCATTTAGACTCTGAAGTAGGTGAGCTAGGTGAGAATATACTTTTCCAGTTTAAAGCAATTATTTTTGTTGAAGACAAAACTATATATGCATCACATATTCTTTACTGAGAAAGTCTACAGTATATGGAACAGTGAGGTTTTATAACTTACAGAGCTAGACAAGCCACAATTATCCCAGTGTCTCAAACAAGGGTTTTCTTTCTTGTTCTTGGTTAACCCCATTGATAATGCACCTTTAAGGTTGCAAGCTTGAACAGTGACAATAAAAGTCCTTGCTAAACACAAGAGGTAAGAGATGATGTTAAGTCTGCAACAGTTGCAGTAAGGAAGGTTTTGAAATCTATTATGTCTCTTACATTGGCCAACACAATAAATACAAATGACAAAGACAAAGCATACTAAAATTCCATATTACAATCTATATTTCTAACACTACTTCCATCTGAAGGAGTCATTGATACTACATACTGGTTTCTTACATTTGTTGTGCAACTTTAATAAACATTACAAATAAGTCTGACATTTTAAATGACAATTCCTATTTATACGTATTTTCTTACCATATAACATCTTTGCCACATTTTTAGTCTCTGGACTAAATTTCTGCTGTTATTTACAACAATGCAATCCCAAAAGCTTTCATACTTAGTGGATCTGCCTGGCTGCAACTGATTGTAATTTGGCCTTCTGAATGTATTTTGATAAACACAGTGGTCATTCAATATTGTATTTACCTTTTCAGTGCAGTGTTGTCTGAGTTTACCTCCACCTTGGTATCATATCTCTCACATAGAAGCTCTGGTGGTTTGAACTCTGGATCATCACTTGATGGAAGAACATAGCTCTGCCACTTATCTGATGACTCGCTGTTTTGAATGATGCCATAATAAAAAGCTGTCTCACTGACCTCTGCCATCAGAGACAACCTTTGTCCAACAAGAACTGTCCTATCATCTAGACTGGGCAATGGCTGGAGATCTAACCCATTACTATAGAGTGCTGGGTTCCCAGCAACTGTTGATGGATCCAAATTTTCTGCTTCCTGACCTCTTGGTTGGGGGCTAAGTGTAGGAGGCAGAGGAGAGGTGGGGGAATGAGGTGAATCCATGGGATTCAAATTAATTTGTTTGTTTGGGTTTCTAGAGGGTATGGATAGCTGCTTCTCATATTTTCTGGAGTTAGAGACTTCTAAAGAGCGTTCCATCCCTGTCAACCCCAGCTTCTGCCCCGATGTGTCCTGTTCCAAGCGTAGCTCTTCGGTGACAGAGGGCCGATGGTGAAATGGCATCATAGGCCTTTTTTGCAGTTTCTCTCCTTTTTCCTGTCTTTCTGTAGTTTTGTGCTTAGAAGAGGCAGGTGGTGGCAAGGAAGAAGAGGATGATGATCCCACACTGAATCCTGGCTGTGATATCATTGGGGGACGGCTGGGACCTATAGCACAGCGCTGTTTGAAAAGCTTGTGCCTGAAACAGGAATTAGAAACACCTGGATTACATGATCTGATGGTCAGAGCAAAAGCAGAGCCAAGAAATCATAATCTATTCCTGCCTCTGGCAAACTGAAAGCCATCTTAGAAAAGTTGCTTAGCTTGTCTGTGCTTCAATTCCATGTCTGCAAAATGGGAATAACAACACCTAACTCACAAATACAATACTCTAGGGCTTTCCAGAAAAGGGATGCAGATTAGACAAGTCGGAATTGCAAATGAAGCAGGGCGTTGCCGGAGAAAAGCGCCCGTCTAGACGGGATCTTTCGGAAAATAAAGCCTTTTCTGAAAGATCCCTTATTCCTGATTTTAAGAGGAATACAGGATCTTTCGGAAAAGGCTTTATTTTCCGAAAGATCCCGTCTAGATTGGCGCTTTTCTCCAGCAAAGCCCCGAGCCGGAAAAAAGCGGCAGCCATGTTTATACAAATGAAGCGGGGGATATTTAAATCCCCCGCTTCATTTGCAATTCCGACTTGTCTAATCTGCATCCCTTTTCCAGAAAAGGGGTGCAGTGTAGACACAGCGGAGGAGAATTACTAATCTTTGTTTAAAATTCTCAGGTGGTAGATAATATAGAAATACCAAATATTATTTCTGCTAATGAAGAGCTGTTTTTTATCACAGGAATACTGAAGAAGTGCAGGTCAGATCTCCCTGGACTGGAACCCTCAGGACCTGAGTGGTCCCAAATAATGTGAGTGGTCCCAAATAATGGAGTTTTCCGGACTAGGGAAGGTCAAGGCTCCCTACCCAGCTGTAGGCTCTGCTCCTGTTTGGGGCTGCACTCCCTATAGGGATATAAGTGACTAGCCCATTAGCTGACTACCCGATAAGAGGCAGCAAGGGGGAGGGGAGTTGGTGCTGGAGGGAATTCGGGAGGCAGGGGAGGCAGAGCGAAGCGGGGGGGACCAAGTGCGAGCCAGGAATCAGGTGTTCCAGCTCACGCCTGGTCCCAGATACTGCTCCTCTGCTTTTGAAATGTATTGAGAGCCATCAGGTCCCAGCTCATGGCCGGTCCCAGACGCTTCGCTGAGATGTATCACTTACGAGTGATTCCCTGCTTGCACCCAGTCCCTCTGGCTGTGCCTCTGCCTTTTAAATGTTTTAAGAGCCTGGCAGCTCTTAGTACATTTCAAAAGCAAAAGCACAGCGTCTAGGACTGGGTGTGAGACAGGACGGCTGATTCCTGGCTTGCGCTTGGTCCCCTTGGCTGCGCCTCTGCCTTTTAAATGTATTAAGAGCCTAGAAACTCTTACTAAATTTAGAAGGCAGAGCTATAGTCAATTCCTCTCTTATTGACCAATTGAGTAGTCGATGGAAATTCCTTCAACTACTCGATTAGCTGATTAAACACAATTTAACATCCTTAGCTCCCTGCCACCTGCCCCGTTACCTCCTGCCCCGCACTGCACCAAACCCGGCTGGGACTATGTCTGTCCCTTACCACGCCAGCCCTGGACAGGGACTAGCCCTGATGCCTCCAGCCCCAACTGGGGCTGTGCTCCCCACGGCACTGTCCCAGGTTGCAGGGCTAGCTGCCACTGCCTCCAGCCCTGGCCAGGGTTGTGCTCTCCCACACTGCCAGGCCCAGCCAGGGCTGCACTCGTCCCCACCGCTCTAGACCTGGTTGAGGCTGCACACCCCACAATTGCACCAGGCCTGACCGTGGTTGTGCTCCCTACCGCGCCAGCCCCAACAGGGACGGTGCTCCTGGCCACTGGCTGCACTATCTCCAACCCCAGCTGGGGCTGTGCTCCTTCCCACCGGCCTTAGGCTACACTCCCCACTGCTAGCCCAGCCTACACTCTTGAACCTGGCCAGCCAGGGCTTTCTAGTACAGCAATATCCATGGCTGCCAGACCAGAGAGTCCTGGATTTTAGAGATTCCATCTGTACTCTTCCTGTACATTCTTGAGTATGTGTTTAAAATGATACCATAGTTTGTGTTTTAGCTTTGCTCAGAGATGCAATATATAGCAGGTGGCTTTCGTGTCATTTTTCCATTAGACTGGGAGAGGGAGGAGGCATATGTCTCACGCAAAATTAAGGTAATTGTATCATACTCATCAATTGCTGAATATTTTATATACTCAAAACCCCCTAATAATACAAATATGATTTTCTGTATTGATAGTGGCTTTAACTTCTAAGACAGATTATATTACAGTAGACCAATAGCTTTTAAAATTGGAAGCATGAGAAAGAAATTCAATATTCCAGATGCTGCAACCATTAAATGATGTTTTCATTATCTCATAGTCCATGAAGGCCTTATGATAGCTTTCTCAGGATTACATGATAACCTTTCTGATAATATAGCTTACATGGTTTATAGCAGTAGAGCAGGGTAATACAATAGCTTTTTACCACTGGATACTTTGGTTAAAGCAGAGTCAAATAAAATTTAAAATAAAGTGTTGAAGAGCTGGTGATCACTGAATGGTCCTAGTACATATTTCATTATGAATCTATTACAAACATGTGGTACAAATGGCTAGCTCACCTTGGAAGTTCAGGGGACATTAAGAACATTGAAAATTAAGATGGAAATACACTGAATTAGCTGTGCACAAACTTTTGGAGTATTTGCCCACACTACACATGGACCTGTACTATGAGTTGATAGCTTTCATGCAAACTAAAGTTCAGGAAATTCATCCAAAAATGCAAATATCTCTATAGATATTATAATTAATTAAAACATTTAAGACTACATTCCACAAAAAAATCTTGAGATAAGAGGACACAATTATTCTCCATGAGTAGAAGAATACTAGTAGGCAATGAATTGTAAATAATATTCTGCAGAGATTCCACAATTGTCATTTACAGATCAGCAAGTGTGGAGTAGTAACATTTAAAAATGTTGGCTATCCTAAAGAAAAAGGAAACCAACTATAACTCAAACAGCGTGTAGTCCTGTGGCCCCTTAAAGACTAACAAAAATATATAAAGTGTCATGAGCTTTCGGAGCAAAACCCCCTTCTTTTTTGTTGGTCTCGTAGGGTATTTTCTACACTACAGTGTTATTCAAAATAACAAGATGAGCATCCACACAGCAAGCATTATTATTTTGAAATAACGGGCTTCTTATTTTGAAATAATAAACGCTCATTTCATGACAAATGCCTATTTCAAAATAGGATGAGTGTGGACAGTGCAGCTGCGCTTATTCTCATAGCTGCCCTGGTGGCCACTCTGTCCACACCCCTCAGAACTCTATAGTTTCCCTTCCCCTGCAGCCTTTAAAGGTGCAGGCAGAAGGGAAAGGGCTTGTGGCACTATACCAACCCTGCCTGCCCCGTGCCACAGAGCAACACTCATCACTGCAGCCCTGAGTGCTCCCAGCACGCCCACTGAGCCCCCCAGGGCTGCAAGTGAGCCAGCAGCCAGCTCTGAAGCTCAAGACGAAGAGGGACCCTCCCTGGTCTGGTGCAGAGATTATGGATCTCACTGAGCTCTTGAGAGGAGGCTAACCTCCAGGATCTCTGCACAAGGCGCAGGAATGCAGACATCTACAGCCAGATGGCCAACAGGTATGAAGATAAAAGAACTGCACCAGACCTACACAAAGGCCAGGGAACAAAGTTCCTGCTCAGGGGCAGGACACCAGTCATGCTTGTATTTTGAGCAGCTGCATCATATTCTGGGAGGGAGGTTGGTCCCTTCCCTCCTTGCCCCGTTGTTAACTCGGCCTGGAGACACCCATTGTCAGCCTGCAGGAGGGCAGGGCTGTGGATGAGAAGGACACGGAGGATGTGGAGGGGGAATAGAAGACCAGTCAAGACACGATGCCTGCCAGCCAGGAAGTCATCATCTCCCTGGAACCGATACCCCACTCCCAGGATGTCTCCCAGCCCTCAGACAATGCCAGGAAAGGCTCATCAAGTGAGTTGCATTACTTTCCCTATCTGCATGTTGGGGCAGGCAGTGGGTGGTGAAGGGCTGCGCAATCTTCACTCGGCCTGGGATCACACAATAGCCTGTACATGCGGGTGTATGTGGAGAGCCAGTTGGGAGCAGACAGCCCCATGAAGCTGCCACACAGGAACCTTGTCCTCCTGCTGACAGGGTTCCTGCATAGGCCTGTCTTAATCCTGACCCCATGGTGGGACACCTTGCTACCACAAACCATCACTAAAGGAGGCTGGAATAGCACGGCAGAGCCGCACATGACAAAAGCTCATACCGGCACTCTTGGGGTAGCTTCCACTCCTGGTCAAGCATGGCGAGGCAGAGGACACGGATCCCCTGCAGAGGAATATGCCAGGGGGAGGAAGTGGCAGGGGGGCTGATCTACCGCTCACACACACCTCCTCCAACACCCTCTCCCATCTTCTCCTGTAGGCAGGGATACAATTTCTCTCTCTATTTGACAGCACCACTGCCAGAGCCAGTATGTGCATGGCAAAGAGGGAAGGCAAACCGCCCTGTTGCCCCCTGCTGCCCGCAGGCTCCTAGCCTGGCCAGCACCTTCCCGGCTTACTTGTCTCCAGGGAATGGGAGTAGTAAGGCTGTCCTGGGATGTTCGTGCCCCTACAGGGCATTGCCCACTGCCTAGGCCACAGATGGCCTTGATAGAAGCACTTTGCCGTCGTCCGAACCAAAACCTGACCCCGCAAGACCCACTGGATGACCTGGTGAGAGAACACCTGG